AGCCGATTCCCATTTTACCCATACTGTTGGCTCAGACCGAGCCGTGGTCCTAGCAAGGGTTAGCCCTTAATCTGCCAGAAGGAATGATGTCAGCCTCTTGGCCAGTGCTGTAGACAGAGCTTGCAGTAAAGGGACAGTTGTCAGGTCCTCTTCATTTGAGCGCTGCTAAAGCCTTGGGATGGCTCAGAAAAGGAGCTTGAGTCATGATTTTGAAGATAAAAGGCCAGTTGGGAGCCCAGGACTTTGATCACTGGGGATGCTGTAATTACTCAAGCTCTGAACAGAGAAACTGAAGAATGGAACAAGGAAAGTGATTTTGTTCACGCAGTCAGATAGTTCAGAATTGCCTCTGTCCATGCGGGCTGAATCCTAGGAAATGATCCAAGCCTGCCGTACTAACGAGTGTGGAACCAGAGGTCTAGTTAGCATACTTTCTGGAATACCTAGGAGGTTGAGTACAATGCAAAACTTGGACTTTTGGAAAACTGACTCTTCAGGGAAGGAATTCAGAAATGGATGGAAAGAAATGCAAATCTAATGCATTCTGGTTTGGTCTAATCAGAGCATCTTCTTCCCTGGATGGCCAGTTTTAGGCAGGGTGACTGAAAAGGAAGTTCAGTGTAATTGCCAAATGTCTGCATTAATTTTGTTGTTCACCCTTTTTTGAACTGGAACCCGGTTATAATTGAGATGTGATGTAGTTTAAGCAAGTTGGGATTTGTAGTCACTAGTTCACTCCTATTTCTTTCCATACCTGCAGTACACCTTTACCAAGCAATGATGTCACTACTCATTCTGATCATTTTTCCACACCAGATGCTGAATTAGAAGTTAAGAGACCTGGGATCCTTTGCCACCAAACTGCTGTGACACTTTGGCTAAATCACTTCAATTCTTTGTGCCTCAGTTTCCTCATATTTGCACCTCTTGGTAAAGCACTTTTCTCTGAAGAGGAGAAGCACAATGCACAGTAAATGTGAAGTGGTATGTTACAAATAGGAATTAAATGGACCCTGATATAATTGCTTTTCAGTCAATAAATTTTCACAGTAGGGAGGAATTTGGCCTGCTGCTTGTTGCCTTACATATAGTACCTGTCGAAGGATCATATGGAGGACAGTAGAGACAGAAGTGTCTTTTCTTTACAGTCTGTCATTTAAAAGGACAAGCAGGAAACACCCATTTGTACAAAGAGACGCTGGCAAGGATGCCGCCACCACGGCCTGTCCTTCTCCAGAAATACCGACTAGATACGTAAAAGGACCATGCAAGGATAATTCTACCATTGTACCTGGCAACTAATCATTCTGGTGTTACAAGATACACATGTAACTAATACCCCAACCGTGCCAATGTGGATTACAGACAAAACATTATTTCATGTAAACCCTCTGTGAATGGGGGAAATCATCATCCCCATGTCACAGATGGGGGGGTGGAAATCAAGGCACAGAAAAAAGTGAAATGATTTATCCAAGGTCACAAAAATCATCTTACTTTAAGATCAAGAATTCTGACTCCGATCCCTGTGCTTTGAGCACTTGCCATCCCCAAGTACAGAACACAGTACAAGTATAACGGTCTATTTGCAACAGGGGCCAGCCTTTTCAGCAGGTGTGCCACAAATTAGCCCCACACCCTGTGAATGCCACTCTGATCCCCTCCCCCACCTGCTGCTCTGCCCTGCCCAAACCACTGCTCTGCTTGCTGTTTCTGCCCCTGTGCTCCCTGAACTTTTCACTGCTCTGCTTTCTGCTCCCTGCTTCATCTGCTGCGGTGTTGCCTGTCCTCTCCCCGATCTGCCTGCATGCTGTGGGCTGGCCGTGCCCAGTCTATTGGGTATGATGAGAGAGGGTCTCTTAGACAGGTTCCTCGACTAAAGACTAAAAACTCCATTATGTAAATAGCATTTCTTGCTATCTGTAATCAATCAAACATTTGCCCCCACCCTCAGGGAATGTATTTATTACAGAAGGCCAACTGGAGACTAGGGGCTGCAATTCTGTTGCAACTCAATTACCATCTAATTACCATGTGAAGAGAGGACGCATTCCTCTCCATGAATTTCTATACAACGATTGCTGAGACAACACTCCAGCTCGAATAGCATTAGTCAAGTGAAGTCAATACCATTTTGCACTTCTATAGCACCTGCCAGTTAAGGACAGCAAAACCTCATGAATGACGTTCAGCCACACACCCATGAGTTTTGGGCACTGTAGCAGGGACTGGAGGAGCCCATTTCTGCTACAGCCAAGAGTCTTGTACCTGCACTGACACAGATTGCTGTCAATCTGCTCTCAGCATGCCATGTGGTGCTGCCATTCCCAGTGTGGGAGAAGGGTTGGGACTGGACAGTTCTCCAATGCTGAAAACAAGGAGAAAATATTAAGCTACCTGATTTGAAGAAAGGAATGGAAAAAAAAAAAAAAAGGTTCCGGTTGTTTTTCCCTGTTGTGAGGTGGGAGAGAGGTACATCACTCTGCCTGCTGCTTGATGCAGTCGTTATTACCCAATGTAACAGATCAGCATGACGCCACTGCTGCCCGCCACCGCACAGTCCTGCTTAGAAGCATAAATTCGTATGTAGGAGGGAACGATGAATGCAAACAAGTTGAGAACTGAGCAAAGCACAGACCTGCTTAACAAAACACTTTGCCAAGGTTACTGGGGGCGTCAGCAAAGCCTTCTCTTTTGTGAGGGCTGTAAAGCAATCCACAGAAGGCGAGCAGCCCATAGCTCTTCTGAATTGAGTGGGTAAGAGCATTCGTTTCACCCGGCAGCTTCTAAGAGTCACGGATGATGCCTGGGGCTCGCTCAGATTGAGGTCCTGGAGGGGACAAGCATGGCTGCTCCCACCCCAGCCCCTTATACAACGGCCCCACTCTGACCAGCTTCATGCCTGTTCGGATTGGATGCAGTGTCATTTTATCTGACATGTAACCGAGGCACAAAAAGTGTCCTTGGTTACTACCATAGAGGGAGGAAGAGTCCTGCCTCATCAGGACTGAAGGCAACTCAGCCACAGATTCGGGATCAAGTGTACCTAGCAATTCTCAACAAGGTCTAGTCTTCAGTGTAGAGACTTGCTCAGATTTTAGTCAGACAAAGAGATGTCTGGGCCTGCATCTGGCATGCCTGGCTTGTTAACATCCCATGGGGGTTGAGCGACTGGTAGAAGGTTTGGTTTATAAACCTTCTCTGTGGGGTAGAGTGGTTCACTATCTATCACGTTCAAACAACAGGCAACTCCCTGCACCCTCTTCAACTGCAGAGGCCAGCAGAGTAAGAAGTTCTCTAAGGCTGTGAAATAGCTCCATGCCATAACAGTTTTGCACATTGAACAAATCAAGTGCCAGCCACTGGCACGGACTCAGACACCTGCTCTTCAGCACGAACAACACTGAAGAACAAGCGCTAGCATTCCTTCTCGTGGCAGCATCTCCCCCTGAGCTACAGGCTTCAGAGACACCAGAAGTGAGAAACGCCATTATGGAATGGGCATAAAACAATACATACTACGCAGGATGCCACAAAGCAGTCTGACGTCGCCAAGGAGAAACAAGCCGTCTTGAAGAAGATGGGAAAACAAGTAATGCCATCAAGGCACAGTGAAAAGTCAGGACAGCTACCTCTCACTGTTGTACAGTTCAAAACTGCGGCAAGTATCTTTGGTGGAGTTCTAGTGCCAGCGTAAGAGAGGAAAACCAAGCCGACTCCTGGGCAAAGACAACAAAAGGTCTGCAATATGCAGAACACTGTGCACAATTGACTAGGCTGTCTATCAAGACTCTACCTTAGTTGACTTTACAGATTCCTAACTACTTTTGCTCTTGTTTCCTAGGAACAGGAAAAAAAAAAAAAAAAAAAAAAAAAAAGAGAGAGGCAGTTGTTGATTTCTCAGCTACTTAAAAAAATAAATAAATAAATTTCTGCAGCAGCTCTCTCCACGCTCAGGATCCACAAGCAACACATTGTGTTTCTTTGAGGGACAGACAGCCCTAATGGCTGGGTTTCCAATTGGCAATAGGATGAACAAACGCACACATAACAGCTATTGAGGCAATAATATAAAGTTAATAAACAATAAATAGCAGTGGAAAGCTCCGTCCAGAGAAATACCAATACAAACATTTGGACACTTACCAAAATCCGCCGGGACTCCCAAAATGGGATTTGTAATCTTATGAAGGCAGACTCTGAAGAAGAGCATCTATCTACATCCTTTCTGTTGGCAGTGGGCTGAAACTGCAATGCAAACAGCTCCCCCAGGGGATTTTAGATGCTTCCATCAAACAGCAGAGTCACAAAGTTGTCAGAAGTTGCAGAGGCAATCGTTTGGGATGAGTCCTAGGTGGAGGTTCAGGCTAGAATAACTATCTACCAAACCAATTCATACCTTCTTAACAACTGCAGAAGCAACAGCCCTGTGGGAGGATTTATTATATAAATCCCTTCCTGTTTCATCTTTTCTTTCCTCCTCCAGACATATGGACTACTTTTGAGTCTGGCTATTTCTATATGTTGGTTGTCGGCTGTTACAGGGCTCGTGCTAATTATTACTTTTGCTTCTCCAATTAAGAGCAAGATGCTACAGCTTTGGACACGCTCCTGGGTAGTGTAGGCAAGTGCACAGATATGGGGTTCCGATTAATTTGTTTGGGACTGGTTCATTTGCATCACCCCAGAGTTGGCCTTGAACAAAACCAGTGCAAGTGACTTGCTAGAAACCTTGCGTTTGGGCTGAGGGCTGACAAGACAGCTCCAAGACCCATGGGGTTGGGGAGAAAGCCAGGAAGACCTCTTCCCCCTCTGAGTGCCTGCAAACCAGCAGAACATTTCAAGCAGAACAGAAGGGATCAACAACACATTTCTGCAGGAGAAGAATTTACATACCGTATGCAGGTTCTGCACACGTACAACTTAATGACAGGATAAAAAGCCCAGGCAATATTTATTCACACAAAGAAAGTCATCTCACCTAGAAACAGCTGTATCCAGGAATCTCTTAGGCTGGTGGGCTACCTGCAACAGGCTGGCTCCTTCCACTCTTCTCTGCTCCATTTGCCAATTCCCATCTCTCTCTTTCTCCTTGCTTAGAAACGTAGCCAGTTGCCTTCGAGATCCAGGAGGCCCTTCACTTCAGTAGCCTTTTCGGGGAAAATCATTGCACGTGTATCTTGAAATCCTCACAACAAAAAGACAGGATCTCAGTCTAGTTTTTCTGTTTGTTGTGGTGTTGTGGCTTAGACCCTGAAAGGAGAAAGACACACAAGAGAGAAAGGAGTCTTCTCTTGTTTCTAATCAATTTTACACCAAATAGTTCAACAAGGCTCACCACGACAAGACCATGAAATCAGGTCTGTGCACCATGAGCACCCATAAAAACCCCATCATCTCACTGCAATTGAGGTAGGTCCCTACCCACATAGCCAACTGGAGCAAGAGGAGAAATGTAGGAGAGCAAACTCCAATTAGCTGTGCTGTGGTCTACCTAACACAGGAGCATTGTGTGATCTTTAACAGCCATGTAGCAGTGAGGATTTGGGTTTAGCAATTCATCAAGAAGTGCTCCATCCAGCTTCACAGCACCCTGCCCTCCCTGCAGTGAGACACTTGCTACTTCCTCATTCCCTTTACTTTTGTGCTCCACCGTTTTCCCCTGCCAAGGGTCTCTCTCCACCCTCTCCTCCGCAGTCAATCCAAACGTACTGATCTCTTGCCAGCATCTCAGTAATTACTCTCCAGGTATCCTTCCATCCTGTCCCCTAGGGGCTCAACAGCCCCCCGACTCGCATCATCTCTCATTTACAGCTCCTTATTTCTGAAAAACAGCTCTCCATGCTCTCTTTCTACACTTCGCATTTGAAAACGTGTCTAACTTTATCCCAACCATATAGTTGGTCCAATAAAACACCAAAAAGACCTCTTGCTTCTCATCTCCAACACAACTTGGAGTTCTTTGGATTCCTTTCGTCATTAATTACAGTAGGTCTCTTTCCATCTCAAGGATTTTGCTTCTAATCACATTTGATTTCTCACTTAATTCCTCCCCTCCGACAGTTCTATTTTCAAAAATCTCACAGCAAGGGCAGCTGCAAGGGAGACTCAGGAAAAGCTCATCAAGAGAAAGTTGAGATCTGTCATTTCCTTAGATGGCACAAAAGGCAGGGTAATAAGAGAGAACATTTCCTTCTGAGGTTTGCCCGTTTCCTGCTCTGACTCCTGTGCGGTAACTCTCTCCACCCTTCGGGATGTTTTCCTTTGTAAAGCTGAAGTTTTGACAGGCACATCTCTGTTTTGCTGCATCAGGCTCAGCAAAACAAGGCTGAAGGTTTCTTCCCTGAGGCTGCTCACATTTGGCTCTCCCTTCAAGGAAGCAGCTCTTCTCTGGATTCACAGTTCTCTGTCCTTGGTACAAATGGCTTCTCAGTGAAACCCTTGCAGCTCTTGCATATGAAACGTGGCTGAGATTTTCTTGGTTCTCTTCAAGCCTTCTCCCTCGCCCTCCATGGTGCTCCCCATTTCCTAGAGGACCGTCTAAGTCACGGCAAGCTCCTGCAGGTCACCACTCTCCTGGCTCCTCTGCGGAAGAACCTTCCTCCTTCCTGAACGTCACCTCTACAATATGAGCAGGCAGACCTTTTTAGGGGCAGCTCATTTTCAGGTGATGGTCGTGTGATCCTTGGTCACCAACTCAAGAGCCAGAGCCTGGGGCTTTACCCATTCATGCTGTCTTTCCTGTTTTTTGCCCGAATACAGACTTTTGCAGAATCTGCAGGTACGTGGATGCAATTTCTGTTGTATGATGGGGTGTGGAGTAGTTGCAAAGTCTGAATCCAGATGTGGCCTGTTTGAAGCTGTGCAGATTAGTTTCAGCCTCTTACTAGAAAGAAATTCAAGCACGGGCCTTAGAACCAGTAAAAGGTCAGTTAAAAATCTTAACACTGATAGGAGTTAGGTAACTCATAGAAAATTAGGGTTAGAAGGAACCTCAGGAAGTCATCTAGTCCAACCCCCAAACTATAGGTCTAGGAGAATAGGTGCCTTCCTGAAGATACAAGTTCTCACTACTGGAACTCCTCAGGCTTGTTCTTCCTTTCACTCAATGTGGAGATATGGATCCAAATCCAAGTGAAACCAATGCGAATTTTGCCATCAAGATCGATGGCAACAGAATAGCAGCAAGTCCTGTTTCTTATCTATTTTCAAAGGTCCCGAGTCCACACACAGTCTTTGTGATCTGCGCTTTATAGCTTGAGATTCTTCATCAAAACCTACCACCCAATTCAGGCAAGCAGGCACCCTCTCCACTGCAACAGAGATGCAACAAATCATTACCGGTAATACTTTTAGTGGCTCAGTTCCAGGTTCCCCAATATTATTCGAGAGAGATGACAAATGTTCTTCCTCTGCTTGCAAGCTACCAAGGAGTCACACACAAGGACCTTTTCTAATGTAACCCAAGCTGGAAGTCCTTGCTCTGCTTGCTGCTCCATTTTCAGGTTGACTTTTCTAATTATTTTGAAGTCACATTCACTTTTATGTAGTAATTCACTTGTCGGCATTTCCTCTTTGCTTGGGGCCCCATATGGTTCCTAGTGAACCATGGTGGCTTCTGTTGTTGTTCTGACAATTTCATTTTGTTTCAGCGATAATAGGATGCATCATTCCCATCTGGGGTTTTCTTCCAACACCTCCTCATTTTCCAAAAAAATAAAATTTTCTTCTCATTCGAGTTGATGCCAGTCAAATTTTGTTCCATTCATTTTTCTACAACCTCTTTGTTAGACCCCACTGTGGGAAGGGCATGCATCCAAGTTAGCAGCTAGCTAATCTTCACAGAGGCTGATGTGAGGAATGGATTTGTGTATTATAATCTCTCCTCTAAGGGCAACAAGTCATGTGTGTGCCTGCTCACATCTATAGGCATAACATACATTGGGAGGTGCCACATCTACTCATCTCAGTAATACACTTAGAACAGCTGCTGCCATAAGACACCAGGGAAGTCTGAACCTTGAAGCCTCTATACCAAGCCTCAGATTTCTACTTCAGCTAAGAGTAACTCCAGTATCTAGGAGCAGTCGGCTATTGTCCTATAGGCACCCAATTACTTACAGAGTACATACTGCACTTTTGTGTTTCATGTACAGAAACAGACCTCTTCAAATCAAATATTTAATGCTATGTCTGTGCAAACATGCTCATATAAATACTGCAATATGATATAACTGTGGTGTATCCCGTTAAAACGGTCGAGCTGGGCTTTTTGCTGCATCTTAACTCCAAGCAGCTGCTGATTGTACTGGCTGTTCCAGGGAGAGTCTGGCATTATCTCCATACACATGCGTGCCCCCTCTCCTAGCTAAACATCCTTCACCCTCACCCTGCTTCTGTCCTTTTTAAAGCTGTCAGAGAACATCAAACAGGGACTTTCAGTTCCAACCTAAGTTCTTTCTCCTCCTTTTCGGCAGCCTGCTCTTAGCTACTTTAACAATGCCCCGATTTCCCTTCTTATCCTGTCGCTGAGGTCTAACAGATTTCTATTATCACCTTCATTTGATACAATCATTTCAGAGTTAGATGAAACTAGCTCTGCCCAGCTCTTGGAGATGCCTCCTCTGCAGTAGTTACTGTGCACAGGCTATAACGACCTCTATCACCCACCTCATCTTGCTATCAACTCCATTACCATCATCTTGCTGAACTCTCCCTCCCTCCTAATTCTCCAGGCACAGTGGGGTATCCCATTTTCCTGGTGCCTCTCTCACCACCATCACATTATGTGCACCTTTGTAAGGGAACACATGGGTTCACAGCTCCACTGGCTCCTTTCTTTTGATCTCTGCCTTTATAGAGCAACAATTTCATTTCCCTTCCTGCACTGATCCTTCACTCGCTCGTGATGTCTTAGCAACATTTCGTTCCCGTTCAGCAGCATTCATCATTAGCTTCTCTTTTTTCTCACTTTCTTTATATCCCCTTCCCACCCCATCTGCTAATTTAAAAGGAAATTGCACGGTATTCAGCATTATCAGCCAATCTGTTTACTCCTTCCCTGTTCAAATGAAGCCCATTTCTCACACACTGAGCCTCTCTGTCTCACCCCCACATGCACTATTATTATCCTCAAAGCCCATATTTTCTGTCTCATGCCACCTAGAGAGCCAGTCATCCTCACAAACCCTTACAGAGGCGCAGAACTTCCAGAAAATCTGTCTTTCTTCCTTTAATTAGATAGGACACAGGAATAGGTGTAGGTGGGGGGAGCTCTAGGGTTTGCACTTTCTTGTCAGCTCCCCAGGTAGCACCCAGGCATTAGAGGCACGGGCACCCATCAAGAGAAAGGGGAGCATGCAACAGTCTGGCCACTAAAGGAGAAGCTTTCCCAGCTGCTGCACACCCCGTGTCCAGACACCCAAAGAAGGCTATTCCTCAGCAGAGCATCTCTCTCTCATGAGGAAATAGCTCTCGAACCAGCCACAATTTTCCTTTTTTTCAGGGTCAGTCGATCTGCTCTTAGCTATCACCTTTTGAAGCACCCCGAGTCTGCTCCCTCCTTGTTTATGTGGGTAGTGACTTACTCAGCATTACACAGCTCATGATTTCATTGCCCAAAGTAACTCTGATTATGACCTTGTGCTCCAACTCCTTAAGACAGAAGATTAATTATACAAACCTCTTCTGACGCCTATCAGAGTGGCTAATGGCAATAATAAAATGTTAAATATCCCTTGGTAGCAGCATCTTGGAAGGCTGGTGTATCTGGGCATAGTAATCACAACAGATATTAATGGCATTTAAAAAAACCCTGATAAGAAAGGCTTATTAGATTTACAAAACTGGCAGAATTTCTCCTCGTGATTTACTGAAGTAGATTAGCTAGGCATCACGCTTTCGAATGCAAAGTTCAACAATGTGTTTTTTTTAAATTGAAGGAAGCTAGAATTGCCCCCCCCCAAATATCTATCTACATTTATCTAGCAATAAGGCAGCCTTTTTGCTAGCAAAGGTTATGTAGCAGGAAGCTTGACAATTTTTTCACTTCTCAGATTTATAATGGTCTTGGTTTGAAATAGAATAAACGAACAGGATAGCTAAGGTTTCACCTCTGTAAATACAATGCTTTATGCCAGTGGCAGATGCTGGAAAAATCATGCAGGTTGCACTGTGCATAGACTCTAAGGGCCCAGCTCTGCTCTCAGTTTGGCGCCAGGTCAACAGGTCTACTCACTTGCATTCAGCTGCACGTATATATGCTAAGGTACCTTGCTTCAGCTGGATTTTTTAAGTGCAGAGCACCCCAAAGTCAGTGAAAGGTGCCCCATGCATAAAATGGCAGTAAGAGCATGAATGCACTGCCACCAAAGTTCAGAAGAATCCAAAGGAAAAATGAAATCCTCACCACCTCCGGGAATGTTGTCACTATTCTTGCAAATCCTGAGTTATTTGTGGAAATAAAGGGATTTGTGTGTGATGGGAAAGGGAGCCCACGATTACAAAAAAAAACATTTTACTGAATGTTAGAGCTGACTTTCTTCCCAGCTGCAGGAGGATATCAAGCTGCTATATTGTATGTTGCTTAGCAATGTAATGTGGGAAGCAATGCTGCAGCCCTTGGTAACATCACTGCTCATTGAAATGCTCGTGAAATATTATATGGGTTATACAGAAGTATCATAAAGTTTCCTAGCAGGATGAAGACGGAAAAGAGAGCTGTGAACGAACAGGACAATAACTCCAACAATGAGAACGTCTCACTGGTCTAACTGAGCTCTCTCTCCCCATCTCAATAGATGGACCGCAACATTTTGCACAGTTGATTAAACATTTGAACAAACCAGAAATTAAAAATCTCATTATAAAAGTTGTTTACAGTTATATGAAATGCCACAACATACTGGCAATTGAGTGTGTGGCCCACTGACTCCTGGCAGGTGGACTCAGGTTTGTTCAAATATACGCCAAAGTCTATATTGCTACCCGTTTAAGGAGATTTTGCTTTAAACTCAGCTGCCAAGCACTTTTGCTTTGCAGGAGGGTCAGATTTCCAGCTCTGCTGCTGTGAAGTTTAGGGTGACAGAACTGCAGCAGTGGAGGAGGATGAAGCAGTGATATGTTTGCTCAATATAGTTCATGCACACACACACACGCACACAGCCCTATGCTAAAAACCATAGCCAAGCGAGCTACTCTGACATTAGGAAATGCCGGAATGAAAGCTGTCTGCAACCATAATTTTGCCCCGTGCTGCAGGTGCATTATGACATTGTATTTCATTACCTGATCACAGGATCTTTGCCTCCTTCAGCACATGGAACAAAGAATGCTTACTACTTCGTTTTTTTCCTCTTTGTTCAATGTGGACTCTAGCTATATTTAGAGCACGTGAGAATAAGAATGACTGAATTCCTCATGGGATTTTTTTTTTTTTTTTTTTAAATGGTATTCGTCACTACAGCATCTGCTTTTGGCTTAGGTAACTTTTCCCATATTGTATAAGAGCCCTGCGTATAGCACAGACGGGGACAGAACCCAGTTCCCCAGGGCAGTATTCTCACCTTTACCATCAGACTGGTCTTTCCTCTACCTGCAACTCCCAGCCTCATTCATCGCTTACCTTCCAAACACTGCATACGCTGAGGGAAGGGTCCTTCAGACAACAGCAGCTTCGCTCTGTCATCCTGATTCGTCCCCAGAGTAGATCCATCCTGCGCAAACATTAAGCCTAAGGTCCTATGGGAAGATAAAAAGCAATCATGCAATTAAGTACTGCATCTTAATGCATGTGTGAAAGAGTGCAATTAAAGTGGCATAGAAAACCTTCCTTCTGACATTTTCCAAGTGCTTGATTTTGAAACCCAAACTAACCTTCTTTTAATATAAAATTTTGTATGTACTTGCCTGTTTTTAACCAAAGGAAAAATAAATGATAACAAATGCATTTTTCTTTATATATCTGTAAGCCATTCCCCATCAAACACAGCAGCTTAAAGTGTCAAAGTAAAGTAACCTTCTATTGTTTCAGCTACAAGGCTCATTACATTAGCAGGTAGCCAGGGAAGGCTGCTCCCCCCAGGGAGGAGATGATCTGGTTGTAGTTGGCGAGTGCCCAGCCCAGTTCTCTTTCTTCGCTATGGGAGGGATGATGGGTCTTGGGGGGGAAGCTTGGGGCCACCGCTGATGTGGCAGCAGCTGGATATGCTTCTTCCCGGGGGTCCTAGCCAGCGCATACTTGTGGGTGTGTTGCTGGCAGGGGCATGGGCCCAGCTTTACACAAGAGTGCTAGTGTTCAACTCATTTCAGGCTGACAAGCCACCCTTGGGCAGCACAAGTGAGAGAATGCACCATTCACTTCAATCTGAACCATTTCATGGGCCCTTTCTCTGGCTCCAGGCCCTTCTGCTTGCTTCATTTCAACAGCAAGCAAGCAAAGCTGAGAGTCAAGTAAAGGGTGCAAAATACTTTGGGAATGCAAAGTGTTAAGCAGCATAAATATAGGGACAGCCTCTGGCTCCCTGGTAGCCCTGACAGATATCTATATGCATGAGAACAAAAGACTTCATTTTTTTCCACACTTATTTAATACCAATGTTCTGAGGAGATTGTAACCCTCATTAATGGTTAAGTTGCACGAAGCTTTAGAAGAGCGCAAGTTGGTTTTGGAATGGTTACCATGGAAAGTTTGGGTCTATCTTTAGTGAATAATAGAGAACAACATATGTTTAAGTGCTTCGAGTTAGGCACCTTTCCGTAAGGAGCCTCGTCTGCAATATGCCCGTTGTTTGTTCTCCAGACTAGGCAATTTTTTTAATTATTATTTTTAAGGCTAATTAGGCTAGAGAGGCTCTAGCAGAGGAAGACTCTGATAGCAGACCAGCAGTTGTCCTAAACTCTGCTGGGGTTCGCATAGCCCTTGGGGCTATCTTCACAGGACGCTTTGGCATTTGTAGATTTGACAAGGGCTCCGGTCTCTCGGTCTGAAGCTGTAAAGAGACTTGAGACCTCCAGCAAAAACAAACAGAATTGGCGCACAGCAGGATCATGGAGCTAATCCTGTCAATTCGGCACTGACCCACTTCAGCCTCTTGCAGGGGAAAAGCTGCATTCCTGGGACAGGTCCCAGCACCTAAACCCATCTCCCAACGCCCTCCTGGGTTTGTTAAATGAGGTCACTGCACACCAACATATGAAATGAGGCATGACAAGTCATATCCAGTAGTGCTGTTTGTAGCTCCTGTGCCAGTAAAACCAGCAGGTCTGCAGGGGCAGCTGCTCCAGAGGAATGTAGGGCATGTTACAGCTACTCTTACTGGGGAATCCTGCTTGGAGGGGTGGGGAAGGAGCTCATTTATTGGGCCAGTGGGGATGGATGGATAGATAGATAGATTAATAAATAAATGCTGATAGATAGATATAGATAGTCTTTAGAGAGATAGATTATCTATGTCTATATAGTCTTCAGACACATCTCAACACCTATTCTGGTACCTTAAACCCTGCCAGAGCAGAGCTTGCATCAGGAGCTGCTCTAGTGCATTCAACAGGACCTTCTTCCACCACCTTTTCTCTGCAGAAAGAGCCACTGAAAGAGCCTGCACCAGAAGTTAGCACAATGAAGACAGCATTCACCAGGCTGAATGCACACACAGAAAACCTATCCTTCTTGTTTGGGACCTAAGCAGGTTTCTACACGCTCCATATTATAAATGTTCTACTTAGCATCACTGCACCCCAAGTAATGACCGTGACTTTTAGGAAACACTCTGCTTTCACACTCAGTTCTTCCCAACAGACCAAAGTTACCAGGCTGCAGACAGACGTAGGAGTGTATCTTGTGTCTCAGTAAAGAATACCGAACAGCCATGATAGAGCCCAGGGGCCTCTCTAAGGAACAATTCAATATTCCCTTTTATAGTATTTGGCATGAACTTGCCACAGAGTTTATTCAGCTTGAATTAACTAATGGATTTGAGCATGCTCTTTAACAATGAGGAAAGACATTGAGTTGCAGTGACGGCAGGGTTACACTAACTGCAGGGTTACAGAATGCTTTGGACAAACCTTCTCTACTAATTGAGTATAAAAACCTCGACTGGCTGTTCCCTAAGCTCCAGGACATTACCACTTTGCATTTCAAAATTAGCATTCACAAAAATGACTGAAAGGTTGGTTAAGAGCATTTGTTTTCCTTGGCAAGGTCATGGGGAGTATTTTTTTTTTCTTTATTAAAAATAAGAAAGAAAAAGCATCCCGGTGTTGAAAGGCACCAGCCAGCATGTCACAAATGGGCCAGCCACAAAAAGCCTGGATGCTGAAAACACAAACCCTGGCAAGTTCAGATCCAGATCGGAGCTTTACAACCCAACTCGCAATGAAAGGGAAACCGAGCAGCCACAGTTACAGCTCAAGACCCTGCCCTAGGTTCATGCATAGGTGTAAGGTCTAAAGCAGCCATTAGATTATCCTCTGGTCTGACCTGCTTCATAACACAGGCCATAATATAATTCTGTGCTAAAGGCAGAACTGCCCGTTTGTTTGGGTTGGTAATACTGAGTCTTGCACCAGGTCCAAAGTCAGGACCTTACAAGATTAAAACAAAAAAAAAATTAAATAAAAAAAAAAAATCCCCAATTTTTGGTTAAAAAAGCTAACCCAGTTCACATTTTTCCATGATTAAAGTGAAACACCACAACACATATATCTGTATATTAGCAGTGTTTTATTTTAATCATGGAAAAATGTGGATTTGGGGTTACTTTTTTTAACCAAAAATTGGGGACTTCTTTAAAATCAGAGAAAACCAAGATCCCTGTTTATAACCCTGCAGGGCTTGACATTACACTACAAAGTTCCAATTTAGGATCTGCTTCCTGTTCTTGACAGGATAACGCAACACTTGCTTCCACCCCAGCAGGTCACACAAAATTAGGTGTTTGCTCTGCAATGCTATTATGTTCAGAAGTGCTGGCGTAGGTTGTTTTAGAGCTAATATCACTGGCTCTAATTGTCCTTTGCTTCACAGGCTTGCTAGCTGGGCTCACAGGCTAAGATAAGCTGGTTTCCCTGTAACACGTCTATCAGACAGATACACAACACTGGTTTGTAGAAGAAAAGCTGCACTGGCACACGTTCAGCATGGCTTGCTGAACTTACTGATGGGTATGCGACCATCACTCTGGCAAGCCCATCAAACCAAACCACACTATGCCCTCTCTTTCACACACATTTCAGCAGTCTCCAACTGTGCTCTCTACCTGAATGCCTGGATTATTCACAGACCTCCTTAATATTTGAATGCAATTTAATTGCTATTCAACTATGGGAATGAGAGAAAGGGACAATTCAGAGTTGTCAACAAAAGTAAACTCTCTGCACGTTTAAACTAACAACATAAATTCCATGGCATTTCCTTTCCCCTCTTCCTAACGGCACTGTAAATTGTTTAAGTATTGCCTACAGTATTTGCACAACTAGCTTATCAAAGCAGAGATGACTCTTGTCTCCTGCTTCCAGTGGCCTCCCCACCGAGGTGGATTTCAATACCTGAGAACATTGAAATGACACTTTTATTCTGAATGTTAACAGGGGGGAAAAAAATAAAATAAAACCCTCTAGATTCCCCCTCCAGACAAAAGGGAGATTTCAATACACTTTCATGTGCTCAGGAGATGGACAATTCAATGTAAAATGCCATATCATAACAGCCATGCTAGGGTTCAGTCTTAGAGGAGTTGAATAAAAGCATCATGGTTTTCAGTCCACTTAGAAAGAAACAGAAATATCTGCAGAGCTTTATAAAAAGCAGAGAAATATAAGGAAATATCCGCAGTTACAATCTGAACCATTCAGCTATTTATTTAATATCACAAAGGCGAGTTCTCCTGCTCGTGGAGGTGGGATATGGGGATCCTCAGATTAAGCAAGCAGAAGCAAAGCAAGGTTCCCCTACTTCAGCTTGTTAATATGCTGCAGTCTTCACCTGTAGGGAACACCCCTGGGCTCAGTCTCTGTGGCTCATCTGCACTTAAGCCTCTGCTGAAATTCCAGCAAGAAAAAGAAACTTGCCCTGTGGAAATGTGTTACCCCCTGTACTTGCAAGTTGACCCCTACATACACAACACACACTCCCCACCCCCGTCCCTTATGCAATGGGACAGAAATAGGACACACAATAAAGCTGACAAATTTCTTCACAGAATTAGAAATAATTGACTGGTGCTTAACATACAATTAGAAGCAAACTGGCTGGGCAAGGTAGAGGATGGGATGGCAGTAACTTGGAGTCAGTGCATGTATACGCAGCCTGCTAATAAGAGTGGGCTACAATGGTATTTAGTAAGGCTTCAGACCTAGGAATCAAATCTTCCTCTTACATGAAGCCTGATGCAGTTGCTCATGAGAAGGCCTGTTCCATACGGGAGCACAGTCCTACCCCATCTCAGGCACCAATTTGCTTAAGGCTGCTCTTGTACCAGGGCAGGCCGTCTGAGGAGGGCAGTGGGTGAGGGGGTACGGGTATGGAGACAGGTGTGCAGGTACACGGATATACAGCGTGAACCATGTAATGGGTTTGTAGTGTGCTTTGATCTGCCAAGTGAACCACTTGGCAGAGTGTTGAAAGTGGGGATATATGTTTCGTGGGGAGGGGGGTTGGCCAAAAAACAAACAAAACAAACAAAAAAAAAACCTTGTACCCACATCTCTGTGTCCCAGGCCCACACAGCAAAGCAGAG